ATTTGTTGACTAATTCAAATTAGTAAAAATTTACACTAATTTTTAGTAAAATATTACTATTTGATATAGTAATTTTTTTCACTAAAATTTTAGTGAAATATTAATAAAAATTAGTAGAAATTTTTACTAATTTATAGTAAACGAATTCTCAGTAATCAAAAATTTATAGTTTTTTTTTTTGCAAATTACTAACTTATATAATTCGGTGATTCAAAATTTGAATTATGGAAATTAATTTAAATTTGACATGCACAAATTAATTTTAATGAAATTAGATATTTACCTTATTATACCAACTCATATGACTAGCAGTAATCATATCTTGGGAATAGTTTAAATTTCAATCAAATTGAATTCCTTTCTCTGAGCTGATTAGGATTTGTGTGAAAGACTATATCAAAAGTGATATTTAATTCACACAACTTTTAAACGTGTAGGAATGCGTAGCAGGAAATACCTAATGAAAAGTAAAAATAATATGTATATAAAACATAAAAAGTGGAGTAAGTTTTAACAGAAAAATATATACTGTTGAGTTAAAATAGTTATCTGAGGTAAAAAGTCATCTATTTTAAATTCCCAAAGTGGCATCTCTTTCTAATTAACTTTTTGCAAGTGTCACGTTTCAGAATAAGGGAGATCCGTGAAGGAATAATCGTCGGGTGTACTGTAAATGTAAATTCCTTTTCGAGTCTGGAGAGAGAGGAGATACCTCTCTACCAACCCTCCAGTCCTTTTCTTATGGTCCAAGAATTTTTCTGCGCTGGTCGCATTGAGGCGGTGCTCACGGCTGCGAATCCTCGCAAAAAAGAAACTACTCTACAAAAATGCAACTCTATAAATACTTCTTTCCTACACATAAGTGGATGTCCATAAACACATATATATATATATATATACAAGAGCGTCGTAACCTAAGGGGCCGAGATTAAATTAATCCACTTGATTGAAAATTTTATTGATACTTTGTTCTTATATTCATGTTCTATTATTAGTTCTGGCAAGTATTTTTTTATAACTCAAGTTGTCCCTATATAGCATTGACTATATTTGACTATATTTAAATGTTGTTTTGACACTTTTATTCTTAGTAGAAAATATTTTTATGCATTTGTATTTATGTATTTATATATTTTACTACTGCTTTTTTTCTATGTTATTGAATATAAATTATTGAATTTGTTTCTCTGTAATACAATGAGGTATATCGTCATTGATTTTTAGAGAATCAATACACTGAAAAATAAATTTATTTATGATTCAAATAATCGGTTACAATATTATTTCCACAAAGAAATATTCAAGAGACGGTGTTTTGAGCCGTCTTGGATTTAGCACTTAATCTGATTTTATAATTAATGATGGAAAATGAAAAATTAATAACCTATATTTTTTTCTATTTAATAGAAATTTCTTTTATTTTATTGAGAAATAAAATTTATACAATAAATTTTCTGAATTGATAAGTATACTTTTTTAGATTTCATAAAAAGAACATCTATATATGTATGTAGTTTTTTTAACCTTTCTTTCTTTTCTAACTGAGAAGAATGTGATTACATATCTTTCTCAGGAATACAAGAATGTTTACATGAAAGACAATAAGGTACTAGATATTCACTTTATCGAACAAGAATAAAGTATCTAACTCTTATCTGAATTTTATGCCTGCAAGGCTACTGTTTTCTTCTTATATATATATACGTATCAGGAACCACGCCAAGTAACGTATCAAGCCCTCAGGACCGGATTTACCTTAGGGCAAAAAGGGCAACTGCCCTAGGGTCCCCATTATTGCAAAAAATGTATATATATATATATTATACAAAGGCAACGTGAACACAACGTTCCTTGTGTACACTATATCTATATGGGCGATTCCACGTGAGATTTATATATGACATTTTAAATTCGGTAAATATATTTTTTTTTTTCGATTTTTATAAAAAAAAAAAGGTTTAGGTGGGGTTAAAGATGGGGTATAGAGAGCGTAAAAATCTTAAAAAGGTGTACGCAGGAAATATAAATAAAAAAGAAAAAAAAATAGAAAAAAAAGGTTTACGTATTTTTTTTATTTTTTTTAAGTGCTCAAATTTTCGAGTTATGAATTTTTAAAAATCTGATTTTTTCGAGTTTTTTTAAAAATACACCTAATTTCAATGACATCTAACTCTAAAAGCATTAAATTTACGAATTATAACCAAGATACAAAAAAGTTTCAGTTTTTCATCGACTTTCAAAATATGTTAACGAAATTTTTTTTTTTTTGATTTTCTTTATAAAAAACAGAGATTTTTTATAAACAAATTAAATTTTTTTAAATTTAGGGGAGATTTAAAAAAAATTTTTTTTTATTTTTACACACATGAAAATAAGAGGAAAATTTTGTAATAAGTTTTGGAGTAGGCCTGATGATCCTTTTGTTTATATAATTTGTTTAAAAAAAATTTTTACTTTTTTTAGTTTTTTTTTTATTTTTCAAAATAAAATGTATCCTAATTTGCTTTTCTATGAGTTTACTAAAAGATCCTAGTACCCAAAACACTTTTCATTTCGAAAAATAAAAAAAAGACGAAAAAAAGTAAAAATTTTTTTTTAAACAAATTATATAAACAAAAAGATCATCAGGCCATCTCCAAAACTTATTACAAAATTTTCCTCTTATTTTCATGTGAGTAAAAATAAAAAAAAATTTTTTTAAATCTCCCCTAAATTTAAAAAAATTTAATTTGTTTATAAAAAATCTCTTTTTTTATAAACAAATTCAAAAAAATTTTTCATTAACATATTTTAAAAATCGATGAAAAACTGAAACGTTTTTGTATCTTGGTTATAATTCGTAAATTTAATGCTTTTAGAGTTAGATGTCATTGAAATTAGGTGTATTTTAAAAAAACTCGAAAAAATCAGATTTTTAAAAATTCATAACTCGAAAATTTGAGCACATAAATTTTTTTTAGACAATTATTAATTTTTCTAAATAGCATTTAAAAAATTTCTTAATTAACCCTTAACTACACAGAAAAAACCTGAATTCAAATTGAGTATAGATTCTATACTCAATTTGATTCGCAACAAAAATGAAACTGGTTGTCTCATTTCGAGTTCTAAGGTAAAAGTATCAAAATGAAACAGGCAAGTTTCATTTTGAGAAAAAGAAAAATGGAAAAATATTGTGAAATAACGAATAATTTTGCACAAAAACATGAAATATAATAATTACAAAGAAGTAAATAACACGCTAGACTTAATATATTTGATTAAAAATTGCTTGTAATCGCGTAATAAAATAATAAAGGAAATATGTTTTTAGGTTAGAAAAATGAAAACATGTGTTTTGACAACAGGAACGGTACTGCCAACTTAAATAATAGCGGTAAATTTAAAAACTTATGAAATTAATTATTATCTACGTAAATAATAATAAATAATTTTTATTTAAAAACTTCTAAATATTCATACTGGTCAAAATAATCTTTCTGGTGTTGTTGAAATATTAGAAACAATAATTGAAATACAAAATTACTCTGCTTATGATGCCAACTTAGAAATCTGAAATTCCAGCCAATATCATTTTGAATAACATGAAGTTTGTCCCATACTCATTTCGATACCCAAAAGAAAATGAGTTGCAACAAAAATGAGTCCAAGTTTTTTCTGTGTAGCACCATGGGTGTAGTAGACCCGAGAATTTTTTCGAGCTCAAATTAATTGAATGTGTAGCTTTTGAATATTTTTTTTTATTTTAATATGTTGGTTTGACATATTCTTATTAATTTTGTAAGTTTTTTGATACAACTAATTACATACAAAAAAAAATTAGCTTTAAACATTAATAATTATGAATTTTTTATTTTAACCTAAAAAATCACATTTTATTCAGCAAAATAATTACCTTTTTTGCAAGTCCTGTTGTTGTGATAATTTTTTCCTTAAAGAATAATACATCATAACTTTAAGTTTTTAAGTCATAATATTAAAATTTAAATAACTCATGAATTTTTAAGTAAAAACACGCATTTTTCGTTTTTATTTTTCACAATTTTTTTAACTAACTTAAAATTAATTAATCCCTGTAAAACTAATTACATTTTAAAAAAATACACCATAAGCTACCTCAGATTAAATTTTTGTGCAAAAATATTCAATACCGGCTGTACAATACACGTTTGAATACTTCGGGTCTAACAGATCTGTTGTGCTATTTACATTCGAACGCGAAATTGTGTCAGTTAAGGATTAAATTAAAATTTTTTTTATAGATTCCTTTTGAATTTCTGAAAAAAGTGAATCTAAGAAAAATTGAACGTTAATATATAATTTAATTATTTAACATCAAAATATCTGTAACAGATCTTATAAAAATATTCACCATCATACCCAGGTGCGAATTGTCGGTCGGCCCATGGTCGGGCCGACCATGTGCATGGTCGGCCCACCTCGGGCAGCCAGAGGTCGGGCCAACTAGCGAATTGATAACGTCGGCCGACCTATGGTCGACTAAGTTGGACCGACTATGGGTACCATAGTCGGGCCGACCAAGGCTGCCCTAGTTGGGCCGACCATCCTTGCCGACGGTCGGCAGCCATAGTCGGGCCGACCATGGCAGCCATAGTTGGGCCAACCTTGGCTGCCGACCATCCAACTTGACGGTCGGCAGCCATAGTCGGCCCGACTAAGGCAGCCGAGGTCGGCCCAACTATGGCTGCCATGGTCGGCCCGACTATGGCTGCTGACCGTCGGCTATGATAGTCGGCCCAACTATGGCAGCCTTGGTCGGCCCGACTATGGCTGCCGATGGTCGGGCCAACTAGCGAATTGATAACGTCGGCCGACCTATGGTCGACTAAGTCGGGCCAACTATGGGTACCATAGTTGGGCCGACCTTGGCTGCCGACCATCCAACTTGACGGTCGGCAGCCATAGTCGGCCCGACTATGGCTGCCATGGTTGGGCCAACCTTGGCAGCTAAAATTTTGCCGACCATAAACATTAAAATATAAAAATTTGTTATACAAATAACATATATTAGTAATCATTTTAAATTCATTATACATTTATTTTATATACTTAAACACTAAACGCAATCGTAAACATACATATATACAAATTAAAATTTTTAACGCTCGCAGGGATCGAACTCGCAACCTAACGCACCGCAGTCTAATACGCTAACCACTACACTACGCAATGACATATGAGTCACGGAGAAAAATAAATGTTATAAGCTACAGCTTGAAAAAAATTAAAGTTAGTAATTCAAAATAATAAATTAATCACATATAACCTTTTTTCTTTTTAAATTAATCAATTACAAGTAAATTAACAAAAACATTTTACATTTGTCAATGGTAGGAGAGAAATTTACTTTATGATGGTCGGCCCAACTATGGCAGCCAAGGTTGGACCGACCTTGGCTGCCAAGGTCGTACCGACCATTGTCCCCCATGGTCGGCCCAACTATGGCAGCCAAGGTTGGCCCAACTATGGCTGCCAAGGTTGTGCCGACCATAATCCCCCATAGTCGGCCCAACTATGGCTGCAATGGTCGGCCCAACTGTGACTGCCGACGTCGGCAGCCATAGTCGGCCCAACTTTGGGTGCAAATATTTACCATGGTCGGCCCAACTCTGGCTGCCGACCGGTCGGCAGCCAGAGTTGGGCCGACCATGGGCCGACGAACCAACTCTGGCGGCCGACCGAAATTCGCACCTGGGATCGTGTTTCTTTTGAGAAAAATAATTCTGTAATCCTTGATATACCGACCATCGATATACTCGGCTGCCAGTCATGCTGACTACATTCCCCGTAGTCGGCCCAACTGCGGTTTTCAAAGTCATGCCGACCATTCTCCCCCTAGTCGGCCCAACTGTGGCTGCCATAGTTGGACCGACCATTACCCCCCCATGGTCGGCCCAACTATGGCAGCCAAGGTTGGCCCAACTATGGCTGCCAAGGTTGTGCCAACCATTTTCCCCTTAGTCGGCCCAACTGTGGCTGCCAAGGTTGTGCCGACCATTACCCCCATGGTCGGCCCAACTATGGCAGCAATGGTTGGCCCAACTGTGGCTGCCATAGTTGGACCGACCATTACCCCCCCTGGTCGGCCCAACTATGGCAGCCAAGGTTGGCCCAACTATGGCTGCCAAGGTTGTGCCGACCATAATCCCCCATAGTCGGCCCAACTATGGCTGCAATGGTCGGCCCAACTGTGACTGCCGACGTCGGCAGCCATAGTCGGCCCAACTTTGGGTGCAAATATTTACCATGGTCGGCCCAACTCTGGCTGCCGACCGGTCGGCAGCCAGAGTTGGGCCGACCATGGGCCGACGAACCAACTCTGGCGGCCGACCGAAATTCGCACCTGGGATCGTGTTTCTTTTGAGAAAAATAATTCTGTAATCCTTGATATACCGACCATCGATATACTCGGCTGCCAGTCATGCTGACTACATTCCCCGTAGTCGGCCCAACTGCGGTTTTCAAAGTCATGCCGACCATTCTCCCCCTAGTCGGCCCAACTGTGGCTGCCATAGTTGGACCGACCATTACCCCCCCATGGTCGGCCCAACTATGGCAGCCAAGGTTGGCCCAACTATGGCTGCCAAGGTTGTGCCAACCATTTTCCCCTTAGTCGGCCCAACTGTGGCTGCCAAGGTTGTGCCGACCATTACCCCCATGGTCGGCCCAACTATGGCAGCAATGGTTGGCCCAACTGTGGCTGCCATAGTTGGACCGACCATTACCCCCCCTGGTCGGCCCAACTATGGCAGCCAAGGTTGGCCCAACTATGGCTGCCAAGGTTGTGCCGACCATAATCCCCCATAGTCGGCCCAACTATGGCTGCAATGGTCGGCCCAACTGTGACTGCCGACGTCGGCAGCCATAGTCGGCCCAACTTTGGGTGCAAATATTTACCATGGTCGGCCCAACTCTGGCTGCCGACCGGTCGGCAGCCAGAGTTGGGCCGACCATGGGCCGACGAACCAACTCTGGCGGCCGACCGAAATTCGCACCTGGGTATACCTAATAAAATCGACTTATAAAATTTGTGATTATCGACGAATAATCAAGAATTAAAATTCTTTAAAAATATTGTCAAAAATGTAGAATATTTAAGTTAAAAGCGATTATAATTTTTAATATTACAAATATTTGAATTAAAATCGTTAGTTTTTATATACAAAACATATTTACAGACTTTTTAAATTCTTCAATTCCGACTATATAGTTAAATGTTTAAGTTAAATACGTTAAGGAGGAAATTTCATTTCAAAACTGATGGAAAAAATGTTAAATTATAAGAGCTATCAATGGAGGGTTCAATTTACAAACATTAATTGTAATCACTTAATAAGATTGTTTGATGCATCTTTTTTTATCACGTCACCATGTAATCACGTAATTGCCTTCGATTTATATTGAGGTAAAAGCCATATACTGCATGGTACATATATATTATGTTAAAGTGTGTATACGAGTTGTAAAAATAAAATATTACGCGTGTATCACAATTGTCTATTATACAATTACTTATCCGATAATTGTCATAGACTTTCAGCAAATTATAGACAACGTATAGAAATTCTGCTTACTTCATATTTATTTAAATAGGAAATTTATTGATTTCCCCATAAAGTATATAAAGATTCCAAACTATTGTGAGACACTTTTCATACTCACTTAATTTGAATATCAGTGATAAGTATACCGCTTATTTTATAAGAAAAAATAAAAAATATTTCCATCAAATAAGTATTTATTTGAAACGAAAATAGTTAGTTATTTGAAGTTATTTATTTATTTATTTCGCTCAAATATTTGGTTTTCTGATACAAGTAAAAATTAATTGACCCCCCCCCACTACTTTTCCAGGGCTGTCCCTGTACATATTTTGTTTGCAACACACTGGGGGACTTTTCGTAGTAAAATTTAATAAACGTTCTTTATTAAAACATACTAATTATTAAATTAATTATTTGTCCGGTGTAAATTATAAATAATATTCATATTAATGTAATTAAGATAATAATTATATTAATTATTATAATAATTAATGAAACAATTTTTTATTATTATTATTATTATTAAAATATTGATAAAAATTTATAAATTTCCCGTTTTATTGTTCACTTAAGAATAATATTAATTGTTAGTATATAAAATAAATGTTTGCGTGTGAAACTTTGTGAAACTTTCCTGGACATTTATTCATGTGGAACATTTAAATCTTTACACAATTTTCACTAAAAATTGCAATTAAATATTCCGAACATTTCAAATAAATCTTTAGGAAAGTTTCGGTGCTGTGGGGGAATATATAATCATCTTTGATTATTTTTCATTTCTTAACTCCCAAAGAATACGGCACTGAAATTTGCTTAAATCATGTTACGCCATCCATCATTGCGGAGGAGATTCAAACTAAATCAAACCGTCATTTTGATGGATCCGTCACTGTGGAGGATTGACTGTACTTCTAAAACATCGAAAAGCAATAATTTTTTCTCAGTTTTTGGGTGCAGCAGATTTGAGTCTACATTTTTTGTCTGTAGATGATTGAGTTAGTTCATCTAAATTTATTCTAAAACATAAAAATAAGAAAATTTAAAAATTTGAATTTAAAAACAATATTATTTAATTTATTAGAATATTCAAGTATAATTTTTATTTAATCCAAATAATTCTTTTTTTCAGTGTATAGGAAAGAATAAATTGCCAGTTCGATATTGATAAGAAAACTTGATTTAACTAGCAATTTTAAAATAAACCATTGTATTTAAGTAGAAAGATATTAACAAAACGATCAGCTAGAATTTCATTCAAAACGGATTTTATTAACATTATGAAATTGCTGAAACAAGATGTCGTGAACCATTTCACTGGGCATTTTTATAGAACATCTCAATTAAATCCTTGAAGATCTTTAGAATATTATGGGATATTCATAGAACATCAGATGATATCTAAACCGCTGACCTCTAAAATATCCTGCTGATATTTATAAAACGTCCTCAAGATATGTTCAGAACAACCTGGAGTATATGCGGTGTTATGAGAGACGAAATTCTGTGGCATTTCTTCACCTAAACAAATAAAGAACGTTGCGTGTTATTAATCTTCAAGGTTGAAGGAGGCAAAGGTTTCCAGTTCTATTTCTTGCTACGCTAGAGCTAAAAAGACTAAAAGGCAGTAAACATTCTAGAAATAAAAATTTACACCACTTTTCGAAATTATACATATAAAGGATAAATCAAATGAATATCCTGAGCAAACTTATTTTTCGTAAATAATTTTTCCCCTAAAACCCGCCAAAGTTTGAAATGTAAAATTGAAATAAAATTTAAGAACGTATCCCAAAAATGAGTTTTAATAATAAAAAAAGGAAGTAATACTCTTTCTATTCATTTAAAAATTTAGGATATTAAAAATCAAGACAGCTGAAGGAAATATGTTTTTAAATTTGCTTTTTAAAAACGTAAATAACTTCTGACTACATATTGTAGATCGTAAAAAGTTTGCAAATAAAAAGTCAGACCAGTGCAAGACTTGACTTGCTCCTCCAATCAGTGTAAGCCATAAGCACGGTGTAAACGCAATCTACATTTATGTAGGAAAATGCGTACCTAAGGATTATGCGCATAATCTACCAGCAGGAGTCGCTGAACTCGAAAGCTTTTCCAGTGGAGGACTTCCTTGCATATCAGACTACCGGGTTTTAATTCTAAATATAATCTCTATACTTGCAATTCAAACACATTTTTTAAATTATTTTTACAAAAAAATTATACTATATTTTTCAATTAATGCAACAGAAATTGAATTCAAAGAAAAAAAGAAATATCGTTATATATAGGATTAATAATGCCATTTTTTTAAATAACGGTATAACTATTTTCAAAAAATGAACGGTAACGCGTTACTTTTTTTTGCAAATAACTGTACCTTTAATATATATGAGTAGGTTAAAATCGGATTCAAGTAAGTGCACATTTACGTAATGTATTACACGTTCTGCGAAATATACACGCGCGCACTGAAAGAACTTCTTTGAAAAATATTACGTGTGTGTGTGTAAAAAAAAAAGAAAAAAATCTTTGCGAATGAACTGAACACTATACTGAGGACTGAAACACGCTAGTATCATCCCTGATAACACTTATGCTGCTAGGAAGAAGACAGATATAAAAATTTATTACCCCTGCAAATAGTTGCCTCCGTAATGACTAGCTTTCATCTCTTTCAGACATGCAACAGGAAAATATATTTTAAATTTCCTCATTTTCTCTCTATATCTGATACTTTTTTCTAACCATAGATAAGTTATTATTAATCTTCAATTTTTAAATTAATGACTAATGTTAATTGAATTATATTTTAAATTTCCAACTAACTAACTCTAACTTTTTTGAAATTTTTTTAGAATATCATTAAACAAAGAAATTAATGGAAATATCAAAATGTATTTATTGTTCGTTTACTAGAAAAAAAAAATATTTTTGGAATCTTTTATAATTCATTGCAATTGGATTATACTCACAGCTCAACAAAACGACACTGCTCGCGATAGAGTCTGAAGATTAAAAAAAAATTTTTAAAGTTTCACAGAATAAAAAATAATAAAATAAAAATTTCTTCTTTAAATAAATAAATTTAAAAATATTAAGTAAAATTAAATAAAAGAGGAGAGTCTATAAGGCCAGTTTTCGACCCCCTTGACATTTTCACTCAACTATAATTGAAACTAATTTTCGGCCAAAGAAAAATGATATTTTTGGTGATCAAAAGTTGAATGGGGATGTTTTGAGCATATAACCCGTTAAATAGTTAGGGTTTTTTTTTTTTATAAAAAATCACTCAAAAATATTTTTGTTATTTATT